CCACCTTTGGCCGAGCGAACTGGCCTATGCCTTTCCACCGTTCTCCATGCTGGCGAGAGTATGCCATTACTCTCGCCTCCACAGAGAAGCTCTCCTTTTCATCGCTCCCCTCTGGCAGGGTCAAATGTGGTTTCTAGTTCTTTTGGAATTACTTTGTGACCTTCCACTCCTTGCCATCTTTCTCCCTTCTACGAATGGGCTGGACCTAGTGGGTTGGACTTTTCCAGGGATCCTGATCGCCCCACAGGTTTTTCAAGATTGACGAAGGTCCTTTTATGGGAATCATGGGCTCCCGACACCAGATTATTATTATTATTTTTTTTACAGCACCGTTTTCTCTCGTCCTGTACGATCAGTCCCATCTCTTCTAGCTAGGTTGTTCATATTGGTCTGTCAACGTAGTGCGCTCAGCTATATCGATGGCTCACGTTCCCCTTCAAGGCGTCCCAGGAGATCAGGACCATCTGGTTTGTCTCCTCATGGGAGGTATTAAGTTGTCCAGCGTCAGGATTATATTGATCCAGCACGCAGAATAGTATCACACCCTAGAACGAAGGGTAACATCTTACTGGGTCTTAGAATGGCCGGACTTAATGTACCCGAGAATAGTCAGAAAACTAGCCGAGGTCAGGGACACAGAACGAGACTTAGCGATAAGGAAAAGCCACAAGTCAAGGGTACCAGAAATCAGGGAAGTCAAACGAAGCCAAAGTCAAAAAACAGAAAAACACGATCAGGAACACATTCTCGGATAATCATCTAAGGGAAACCACGACAGGACAATGAGCTAAGGAAGAAGTGAGTTTAAATAACCCTCTTGACATCCGATTGGCTGTACATTAGCCCTTGACCCCAAAACGTGTGTGTGCGTCTTTTGCGTGACCTCACCCGCACGTCGACGGCGTCTTTACCGTGGACGGACCTGGGGCTGTATAGTTGTATAGGGCTGGCGTGCACCTAAATATTCCCCCATTTAGGACTTGGACTTGGTGCTGCGTTTTTCTTAGGGGTTGGCCAGATAATGTCTCTGGTTTGTTTCTTAGAATTTTTTTGGTTGAGCTTATGCTATTATGTCTCATTTCCTTCCGACATATTTCGGGCGTTTGATGTGGACAGTTTTTTCCTTCTCTCTAGGCAGTGTACCATTTTCTATCTCGTGCCATATGTCTGATTCTACGCCAGTTTTTTTTAATCCGTTCTTTAAGGCAATCTCTCCGTTGTGCATCGGTAATACTCTTACAGTATGTCGAAGTTACTGTACCTTTTCAGACTTTGTCAGCTTTTGTTTTTTTTTGCCCTGGCAGGAATCGATTCTTGATCTGCAGCCCATTTGGTAAAAGGGGTGGCGGCATTGCAGGCTTATTTCGCAACACTTTTGCCGACATTAGGCAATGTGCGGTTTGGATGCCGAAGAATTCTTTCATGTGTTTTATGTTAGACAATCTTCTCACGCTTCTTTCACTTTCTAAATCCTCATATGAAGCCTCCTGTCATGTGGTAAATTTGTAGATTATGCTAATGTAGTGTACCTATAATCTTAATTTTATTACTGTCAGGAGGCAAATGTTTTCCCACCCTTCTTTTCTTCCTACCCATGGCTTTCTGTTACTTGGTTTGTAATTTTTACTGTTAGGATTTAGGTTTGGAATGTTTCATAGCGATAGCACATCTACTGTTATTATTACCATTAATTTTATCACGTTCAATTGTTGTTATTATTTTGCCTAATTTAATTTGTTTATTACATGGTTTTTGTAAGATGGACAACGTACCATTTCAGATGCCTTTCACTTCTTTTTGCTTCCTCCCGTGTGATCGGTTACTTCCCTGGCAAAACCCGCTTCTGCAGTTTCTCCAGATGACTCCTCATCCATGTGTGATTGGTTCTCTTCAGTGGACAATTCTACACCTATGGTTGTCTTGGGTTGTTTTCCTTACTGGATTTTCTGAGTTCTTCATTGATTATTTTGACATATGATAACTGTTATGTTTGCTAATTTTGTTACCTGTTTTATGTTTGCTACAAAGAAAGGAGGGATGTCAGCGCATTTTATGTCACAGTTTTCTTTTTCTGATTGGTTTCTGTTTTATGATCTGTGCCGCTAAAGATTTCAGTAAAGTTTGTTATGCAAAATATTCGCTTCCTGTCATTACTAAAATTAAGATCATAGGTACACTATGCTAGCATAATCTACAATTGTTCTATAAAAGCAAAACTAGTTGAATTGCAGAAGCAACAATTTTACTTTAAAATACTTTTCCAAGCTTTTTATTTAGCATAATGTAAAGGAAAAAAAAGCATAGTTCCCCTATAAAATGTTGGAATTTATCCTAGACCTGAAAAGAGCAACATTTGGACTGATATATGAGCCTTGAGCGTGCAGTGTAACAAGTAGCACTCCACAGAAAGGCCACACAAGGAGAGTTATACAGTACAAGGTTTATTAATACTGGATCGTCACAGTGCGGAGTTACCAAACGCTACTCTGAGCGACAAAAGAGGAATGAATAGAAAAAAGAAAATTTGAAGTTGAATTTCAGTTTTTGTTTCTTTAAAAAAAAAAAAAAAGTGAGTAGAGGAAGTAGGAGAGCAACTTAAAATAATTTATAAAAAAAAATTATAAAACTGTTAACAACGAGAGCAGAAAAATTCAGCACAATTGAAAGACACATTAAGACGTCAATTTTCGATTTATGGTATTGGTGTTTTTTTTTCTCCTTTTTTTCTTTTTCATTTGTTTTTTAACATTTGTACAAAATGGGGTGGGGTGGGAGGGCGGGGATAAGCAAACAGCGTATTCTGCTGTGTGCACCAGCAGCAAAAAAGGTTAACGTTTATAGGGATGATGTGACGGGACGCGTACGAATGCAGACACACATCCAGTGTAAAGTGTGGTTTTCTGTACATTAACAACAGTGCTTTGTGTTTTGGGACACACACACACACAGGGAGATCTCGAAAGAGGGAATAAGTCAAGGTTATTTTCCTCTAAAGAGGTTGAATAGAAAAGAAGGTGAAATATGTCAGTTACACTACAAGGTGAGGAGGGACAGTGTATTGTGCTTTAGCTTGCAAACCCACAGTTTCTGTGTGACATAGGTCATTTAGGCCTTAAAGCCAGCCATTAGGACCCCCCCACAGTAATTCAAGTCCTTAGGGTGTCCCTCTGCGTAAATACAGGTGAATGTACATGAGTCTTTTCCTGACCTATTAGTCCAGTATAAAACCCCAAACTGGGCCTTTTTGGATCTGAACCCTGCTTTGCTTCCATGGGTACATGTCAAGCCCTACAAATAGTGTATGTAGGGTTTATTAAAAAGTTTAATCTACGTTTACAATATAGTTCTATATATAGGACCACTGCTCTGATTTCATTTTGGCAAATATTCTGTTTGGGTGGCATGGTCAAACTGTATTCCTTCCCACCTAAACTAAATAGGCAACGGACCTCGCGAAAGCTACATTAATGCTGGATACGTAGTATTCTTGTCCTTTTATATTAAGGAAATTATTCAGTAGTTTGTATAAACAGCTTTACTATTAGTCTCACTGCTGTTGGCTGATTTCTTTGTCAGTTTGTATTTTGTTCCTGACACAAAACTATCTGAACTCTAGAATTCTGCAAAAAGCTGCTTGTTCGTTGGTAATTTACCTAACGCCTTACACTTGCTATACAACTGCATGTTGTGTGAACATGTTTATAAGCCGGTCAGCAGGTTTTATAATTATCTAGCAGTATTTCTCCTCAGTTCTGTGAAACTCCCTACAGGTATGAATTCCTCCTGATCTAAAACCCACTGCAAATAAGTTTGATGGCCATGAGCAACAGATCTGACATGTCAAACACAGAATATTGGACTGTCCTTGACTGGGAGCAGAGCAGTACCGGGCTCCAAGCTAGAGCAGGGCTGTACCAGCCTCGCAGGGCTGTACTGGGTCCCAAGTTGAAGGAGGGCTGAACTGGGCCCTGAGCACAGCTGTAGATTCCTCCTGAACTGCCTTACATCTGTGAGCAGGACTAGATCCTTAGTCACTTACTATGTCATCGCAACCTCACTCCTGTCACTACCCAAACCTTACCGTCTACCACAACCTTCCTTTAGGGGTTTACTCACATGCAGGTGCATAGAAAATAAGATTCTGCTCCTCTCACCTCCTCATCCATATAATCCCTATAATAACACTTTCTACCACTATCTTGTCCTGAATGGGTGAAACTGAGCTTGGAAGCCGTGATCTAACAAGGTGCAATGATAAAGTAACCTGTGAGCTTCTGACTGAATAGTTTGCAGTTTTATATGTGTAGAGGTGTACTGCTTTGGACGTTCTTTTTTTTTTTTTATTCTGAACACTTCTTATGCACCTGGCTACTATAAGACTTTGAGAGCTTCTTAAGAAAATGGCAGCTTCCAGTGTAACATCCTGGATAATTGCTGAACTTTTTTTTTTTCTTTTTAACGAATGACCATAAAGAACACATCTTTCCTTCAGCTGATACAAGCCCTGCACTACGGCCACCTTTGTTTAGCTGCACCTTTATTTCCTAGGGCTTCTTAGATTAATGGTTCCCAAATCCAGCCTTAGGGCAGCAGCACAGCTATTTACCAGTGTCCTTTTTGATATGGAATTGGAAAATGCCAAAATCCTGGACTGTTGTGCCATCAGGATTGATTTGGAAACATTTTGGCCTTAATGTTGCATTATGTTCAATTCAGTAGAATTCTTTATTTAGTGAATAATCCCATTAATTCCTTTCTGAATCATACGCACTACAGCTGGCTCCCTTGGAAATTGGTATTAACAGAACCTTGACCTATATCATCTGCTGGTTACTGCCTTTGTGATCTCCCTATCATGCTCTATAATCGATGCACCTAATCAAATACGTCCAGCTGATATTCTGATTGCATGCAGTTTAGGGAATATAGAACAATCTGTTAATTGTTTCCCAGCATAGGCAAATGTTAAACATTTTATATAAAGAGATATTTCCCTCTTCAAATGCTACAATTTTACTGCATAATTAATAAAGTGTAAATATTTTCCAAAGGAAATGTATTCATTTAATACTACTGACGTTCCTATATTTCTCCAATGGCTGGTACACTGCAGTTCTGCACCTGACCAGCAGGTGGATTGTGTAGGTACAGAAACTACACATCTCTGCTTTTCTATTTGCCTTTATGTGGGTGCCATTGGCTCAGCCAGCAGCTAGATTAAAATATTCTCTCTCTCTCTCTCTCTCTGGTTAGACCTAATTCCATACATGTCTCGAAGAGCTATATGTAGGAATACAAAATGTAAACAACTTATCCGCTATTTTTAACGCTAGTTATTGAACTTACACCTCTTAACAACTATAAACTCCCCTCTACATGGGGCTTTTTAATGCAAATAGAGCTTTTTTTTTGTCAATTCCAGTCTGTGCTCCTTAGATCTACACTTGCACCTGCCTGTGTTTTTGCAGCAGGTATTCCAATAAGGATGTGGCCGGGTGGGTTGTTTAAATTCCTGCCCCGGAATTCGACAATGCATTTTCTTCCCGTAAAGCTCCATTAAGGAGGTAATTAATTGTGCTGTGTCCTCTCGCCACCTTTATTGCATTCTCACTTCATAAGATGGATGCACAAAGTCTTGGCACAGCGTACTGAGTGCAAGTCTGCTCAGCAGCACATGTAAAGGGGAGAGACACAGTGAACATGGGATGGGAAAGGAGGAGGCCTCAGTGATGAAAAAAGGCATCTTATAGCTACTGCTCTCTCCTTCACTCCTTCGATGTCAGCTGTGTCATGGTAGGGTTGTCTATTCTGTACACAGGGTTTACACCAGTCTTTACCCTTCCTGTGTGGGTTTTCAATGCCTCCTATTGAATGGAGTATTTAGACACATGGGGGGCATCTCTGTAGCAAGCAGTCTATAAGTCATGAAATATTGCAGCTGCCTTAATTTGGCACTAGCGGTGCCCTTGTCAGCTTTGGCACGGGGCAAACTGTATAATATTTCATGCCATCTCAAGTATAAGACCATGGGTTACTTCCTAAATCACAGTGTAAAGAAACAGTTTTGCTAACTTAAAACATTCAAGCTCTAAGGTTTTTCTTAACAAAAAAAAGTTGTTTTTTCCTTCCTTTCCATTTCGAATTACAAGTGACTCCTTCAAAGCAAACCCCTGTATTTCTGCTAATGGTGCTGTGGTTAGGTTTTTTCATGAACAGCCCCTATGCCCGCAGGTAGTGAAATGCACTGTGTTTGGGCAAACAATCTGCGTGAGGTGTATCCATTTTGGTGTGTCCTGCAAACGTATCCCAAATACAACTTCATGCAACAAAACAGCCTTTTTAGGATGTTACTTTTTTTGTTGTAATTTTCATTTTTTTTAATTTTAAAATATGATCATTCAGTGGTGCAGTCAGTATAAAACTATGGCAATGTTAAAAGACCAGAGAAGTATGTGACAAGGAAAAGCTACAGCATGCAAATTTATTGTCTAGTCTAGCAGTGTCTGCTTGCTCTTGGTATACAAGGAGTGAGTGTTTTTTTTTATTTTTTTTTTATTAATGGTAAAGAGGGGTACAATTAATATTTGCACATTAATTCTGCTATTCCATGTAAGATGGAGGGGAAAATGTCTGACTGTCTTACTCTGGTCTTTATTTCAGAGCCTGAAGCGTGTTGGTGGCCTGGTGTACTGTGAGTATTGGCGTTTAAATCTTTCTAATTTGGTCACTACATGTGTCTAAATTGCCAAATTTTTTGTGCAGGCTCAGACAGAGTTAAATTTCAACTTGTAATTCTATAGATGTGTATAAATCTCCCTCTAAGTACAACTTCAGCAGTCTTGTATAACTCAAGTAGTCTTATTTTACCTTCCCAGATGCATTGCTGTGTCTGTTTTGTTGCATGAAATCACTAACTTGTTTAATTTGTTGGGATTTGTCTCTGTTCGCACACACCTGTAGTAAACAAGAAGATATCATTTTAACTTTTTTGGAATTTGTCCAAGGATTACCTCTGCCAGAAATTACTTAATACAAATGCATTGGGTTGTTTTATAACCAGGAATTGCATATTGTAGGCTAAAATACCCAAGCTATAAAAAACTCTGTTATTCAGACCTAAAATGGGAGATTGATTTCCAATCTGCACTCTGGCATGTTAGGTAATAAACCCTGTGGGAAATGGGTTGTACAGTTTCTTCGCAGTTGATGTGGCCTGCTGCATGACATGTTTCCAGCATGGAATAAGTTAAACAGTTTGATCAGATGCCATACTTAAACAAAAACCTAGCCATGCTACCTCTGGATACACCTGCATAGAAAAGGGTTAATCACTCCTGGTTCTCGGGCTGCACTTCCCTATCACAGTATGTGTCACTCCCCTCTCCTCAGAGCACCAATCCTTAATCCTATTACCAACCCCACAAACCCAAATCACAAGATACGGGGTGCAGAGCGGTCATTAGTGAGGGTCCGGCGTAAGCGCACCCCTCTACGTATGGATGCCAGCATATCCCCTTCGGGGGGTTCAGATGTGGCTTCCCCTGCTGCTGTGGTGGGGCCTTGACTGCGATCTGGAGCTGAAGGAAAGGGGAACTGACCATCTCCCAGAGCATGTGCTCCTGCGACCAATTCTCCAATCTTCTCCACGAGACTGTGCCTGTTAGCAGCCAGCAGCCCCCCTCCCATGTCTTCTTCATCTCCCCCTCCCCCACCATACACAGACATCTCTCCAGTGCCTCCCCATGCTGCATTGGGTAGACTTAGCCGTTTTGGAGATGACTTTGCATAGTCCAGGGGACTTCCATCTTCCCCTCCAAGGTAGAAGACACATTCTTCACTCCCCACACGAGACCGTCCCCCAAGTCCTCCTCCTGGAGAGTCTGGCACTGTAGGGGTCCTCACTGGCACTATTGGAGGGCGGCATGGTATAGGTCCAGCATTGGACAGCGTGCGCCTGACAGTGGGTTTGGTGGAAGGGGTACGCCTGATCGTTGCTACCCCAGGAGTGGAGCCAGTCTGTGGAGGTGGAGGAGCAGAGCCAGATGGACAAGGCAGACCTGCTGTTGAAGCTGGGCGCTTGGTTTGAAGCATCCGGCGGTAGTTCTGAGCTAGGCTGCTGCTTCTCGGGACAGTGGAAGATCTATCAAAGTCTCCTGAACCATCGGCCTCCGTGTCACCATTTACTGAGTAACAGTCGTAGTCTGACCCTAGGAAAGGATGCAGTAAAAACAGTTTAATAATAAATCAATAAAATGTTTTTTGGCGCTAAAATGCAGATGAGAGCATTATTAGTCACAGGGAGGTAATTAAAAATGGGCTTGGTTTCCATGGTGATTGTTTCAGCTGTAGAGCAATCAGCAGGAACATTCCATTGGTTTCCATGGTGATTGCTCTACAGCTGATACAATCAGCAGGAACATTCCATTGGTTTCCATGATGATTGTTTTAGAACCTTGCTCTGGAATGGTCTTTTATATAGACCTGCCCTTAGAGGAAGGCCATAACTGGATGTGCAGTATTATATATAGTAAACCAACATTTTTCCACTCTTGCACTTCTCATATGATCATATAAAGTCATGAATATATACAATGGCTGTTGTACCTTGAGATGGGATGGTGTCCTCTGAGCAGGAGGGGGTGGTGGTCTGTGTGCTGTAACCACTGGAGTATTGCAAGGAATCACGGCTGCTCTTCTGATGCTCTAAACTCAAACCGCGTGTCAGGACCATAGCCAGGTCGCTGGCTGCAGGTGACACCTCTTCTCCATGCTGCCAAGACAGATTCATGTATGTTACAAGTGACACCGCATTTTCCTCTGAAGATTACAGTGAATGGATATCAGCAGCAGACACTATTTCACACTACACATTGCGCTGCACAGCATGTTCAGTTCTTTACATTTCTCTAACTGGCAGCTCCATGTGGTATCACTAAATCCATGTTCTCTCAGGGTTATTCACTAAAGGGAGAATTCAAAGTCCATTTAAGATATATGGTGAAAGATACATTCTCTAATTCAGCCTTAAATTCAGTTAGAATTCTTACTTTAGTAAATAACCCTCCATGTTGCCTATACGTAGTATGTTTTTTCTTTATTTATTTGATATAACTTTGACCAGAGAGAGTTGGGCAGTGTTTGACAAGCAGCACCAGGTACATACAGATACCCTATACTTTCTGATCAAAGCTTATTTAAAGGGACACACCGGGCACCAAAGCATGTCTAATGCATTTGACAGATTTTGGCCTCATTAATATGCTGTCTTTTTTTTTGCATGCTCAATTCTCTATAGTTTTTGCACACAAAAAAAGTTTTTTGCTGAATGCTGCCCCATAAGCCTGCCTCTTTAGCCACACCCCCTCATGCCAGAAATACTTCCTTAAAGGACAACTATCGGCACCCAGACCACTTCAGCTCAATGAAGTGGTCTGGGTGCCAGGTCCGTTTAGGGTTAACCCTGCAACTGTAAACATAGCAGTTTCAGAGAAACTGCTATGTTTACATATGGGTTAATCCAGCCTCTAGTGGCTGTCTCATTGACAGCCGCTAGAGGCGCTTCCGTGCTTCTCACTGTGATTTTCACAGTGAGAAGATGCTGCCGTCCAAAGGAAAGCATTGAGAAATGCTTTCCTATGAACAGTCAGAGAATCTATAAAGAGAATCTATAAACAGGTGGCGATATCCTTACACTATGCCTCCCTGGGTGTTCTCTCCATCTAATGCAGCTTGTTTTGTTCAGATCATTCAGTATCATTCAGTACTGTCACTGACTGAGCTGTGATAGTTTAAGTATTTTTCTTTAGTGAGGGGCGTGGCTAAAGAGGCATGCTTATTGTGCAAAACAGTTATTTTTTAATGCAAAAACTATAAAGATATGAGCATGCAAACAATACAGCATATTAATTAGGCCAAAACGCATTGAATGCATTAAAGTAGTATTGGTGCCTGGAGAGTCCCTTTAAGTGTTTTTAAACCCTAAATATTGCATTTACAATTTACGACATTATCATCTTTATTTAAATTGCTGTGTGAAATGTCAAATTAACTGCTAGGATGATGTTTAGCAAGCTGTACTATTACTTTAGCTTATGACATGATATTGACATGTGTAATGTGTGATCAAACCAGTATACTCATTCATCGTATCTCCTATTGTTGTCTTTAACATTTCCACTTTCCAACTCTTCCACATGGTAAAATCTCACTATATATTTAGATATTCTTTACTCTGTTCTGTACAGTGGATTATTGTGTATGTTCTGCTTAGTTTCTTAATGAAAGCCTTTCCTTTCATCAGAGTGTGTGTATTTGAATGGGTACATGCACACCTTAGCAGCAATGACCGCAGGGGACATGCGTGGTCGGTATGGGTCCTCCAAACTTTGATAGCCTGGACCGAGCTCTGCCTCCCGCAAATGTTCCACTCGATCTTTCCTGCGCTGCAGTGAACTGGGTGGTGGGGTTTCATATGGCCCTGAGCGAGACCAGTCCTATGCCAGGCACATTTTATATAAGTAGCCGAAAACAATGGGTAGAAAGAGAGTGCATTATTTATCATAGCAAAATGGGCGCAATTGTAAACACCTACTGCTTCTAGTATGTCAATCATGTTTTGTTAGCGTTTGTGTTTTGTCTTGTTTACCTGTCGTACAGTGTTGCAGATTATGTTGCTATATAAATAATTGTAATTTGTAATAAAGCTTGCACTGTGTTTTGCATAGCATAGTTGTGACTGGATGTTCTTTGCATTGAATATAGTGATATACTAAAACTATGACTATTTGCACCCCTTAGTAAATCTACTTGTTAGAGCTGCATTTATCTCACAACTACATTATAAATGAAGTGATAATCGTTTACCGCCAATATGATGCCCGCACCATCAAAGGCAAACAAATTTTTTCAAAATGTTTACCATGTTAAATAGGATATTTTTGAAGACTAGTACTTGCAATAAAAGAGACGAGCGATTGTATCTAAAACTAACTTAAAGGGACAATATAGGCACTAAAACAAGTTTAGCTTAATGAAGCAGTTACTTTGCTCAATTCTCTGCCATTTAGGAGTTAAATAACTTTGTTTATGCAGCCCTGGCTACACCTCCCTGCATGTGTGTTACACAGCCTTCCTAAACCCTTCCTGTAAAGATAGATATAATGTTTATACTTCCTTTATTATGCAGTCTGTTTAATTAAGAATGTCTTATCTCCTGCTCTGTTAATAGCTTGCTAGACCCTGCAGGTGCCTCCTGTATGGAAGTTCAATTTACAGAGCATGAAGTAAGTTACATCTAACTGAAAATGAAAGCGCAGTGAGACTGCAGAGGCATAATGTATACACCAAAATTGCTTCATTAAGCTAAAGTTGCTTTGGAGAATCATTTAAATAAAGGGCACTAGTTGCACAGATGGTCTGATACATTTACTCTGTGCTCTAGCAACTGTATGAGCTATTGTTAAAAGAAAATGATTTGTTGTGGTAGATAAAATGAAAATCTCTAGATTAGTGCATGTGTTGCTCCATAATGCAGCATCTAGAGAGTGACAATAGATGGCTTACTAACCGAAGTGGGGGAGCTGCACTCACTGACAGACTGACATGTCTCTGAAGCTTCTGAGGATGCAGAACTGGATGATTTCTGAGGGAAGGAAAGGGATCTCTTGTGACACAGAATACTGAGAAAGGAAGTTAGGAACTATGATTTCAAAACATGTTAATGGAAAAGCCAATGTTAAGAATGGAATTCTTTGCACTTTTCAGTAAATGGACTTCAAACCTTTATAAACCGACATTAATGCATGTTCTCATTGTTTAATCAGCACAGGGTAAACATTGCAAGTATTTGGAAAAGAAGATATGAGATGTGTATTTACCTGACTGGTGATGTCCGATGGCATTGGTGACGGAGGCTTCGAGTAACTGGCTTCATGTGAGCTGCACCCAGAGTCATGGGAGGACACACTTATTAAGCGCTGTGGGCCCCCGGTGGGCTGCGGGAGGCTGCGATAGCGACACGCGGAACCCGGTGAGTGAGGCTGCGAGGCAGCTTGCCACGAGGGGGCAGTCTTTGTACTGTGATGAATGGGAGGGTAAGGTACAGGAGTGAAGGGATCAGAGTATTGACAAGGAACGTGTTAATGGGGTTGACATGGTGTGCCACATTGAGGAATGTGTGAGGTAGGTGCTCATTACACAGTGACTCATGCTGCAGATTTATCTCAGGCTTCAATATATATTAAGCAGTGTATCGTATGGACTGGCTATCTGTCATTCTCTGAGCAGTGTATCGTATGGACTGGCTATCTGTCATTCTCTGAGTAGTGTAACATATGGACCGGCTGTCATTCTGTGAGTAGTGTATCGTATGGACTGGTTATCTGTCATTCTGTGAGTAGTGTATCGTATGGACTGGTTATCTGTCATTCTGTGAGCAGTGTAACGTATGGACTGGCTATCTGTCATTCTGTGAGCAGTGTAACGTATGGACTGGCTATCTGTCATTCTGTGAGCAGTGTAACGTATGGACTGGCTATCTGTCATTCTGTGAGCAGTGTAACGTATGGACTGGCTATCTGTCATTCTGTGAGCAGTGTAACGTATGGACTGGCTATCTGTCATTCTGTGAATAGTGTAACGTATGGACTGGCTATCTGTCATTCTGTGAGCAGTGTAACTTATGGACTGGCTATCTGTCATTCTGTGAGCAGTGTAACGTATGGACTGGCTATCTGTCATTCTGTGAGCAGTGTAACGTATGGACTGGCTATCTGTCATTCTGTGAGCAGTGTATCGTATGGACTGGCTATCTGTCATTCTGTGAGCAGTGTATCGTATGGACTGGTTATCTGTCATTCTGTGAGTAGTGTAACGTATGGACCGGCTATCTGTCATTCTGTGAGCAGTGTAACATATGGACAGGCTGTCATTCTGTGAGTAGTGTAGTGTATCAGAAACTCACCTGCACATGCTGGATTTTCTAGAGCTTGAGGTGCTGGGGGAAGATGGGGGAGTTTGATAGGACCAAGAGTAATCAGATCCTTTCAGGTCCTTGATAACCTGCAGAAACCAATAACATGGGCTATTTTATTCCCTTCCATCACAGAAGCTCACAAATTCCAGAATATTTGTGATATTTCAAGTATTAACTAATTAATTTAGATAATTTAATTATGTAGGGATTAGGCTGTGTGTGTGTATGTGTATATATATATATATATATATATATAGACAGACCCATCTGTATAACTATTATTGCTGGTTCGTATAGTTTGCCTTCCTTTCGTGGAATTGCCTGTTCGTATACCCCTATTCGTATGTTTGACTTTTTACCAAATGAACTTACCGAACAGACGGCCACCCAGAAGAGAAGTGTGCTGCTGGTTAACCTCTTGATCCCAATTAGAACGTTGTGGTTAACCGCAGACACCTCTTAATTATAACCTAATGCAGGGTGGTAGTCGTTCGTATGTCGACCACGAGGTGGCGGCCATTTTAAACCATGCGGAAGACCAGTGGTGTTCGGCGCAGATTCTATGGAACTAAAAACAGACACTTTTTCTGCCAAACACCGCTGAAACCACAGACCGCCCTTCTCAGTCGACAAAGGCATGCGAACACCGGCCGTTCGGGAGTTTGGATTACACAAAGGGACTTAACCCAGATAGCCATCCCATGGAGTCAATCGCATACTGAAAGACTGTAAAAGACTTTGACTCCATGGCGATTAAACTGTGCGTATGGGAACTGAGCGCTATTCGCTAAGAATATGCACTCAGATCCAGGCTATCTGGGGATACGTTGCACGAAAATGTTCGGTACTTGTGTAATTATTTATTTTCATGTGTTTTTTGTGTCATACTTAAAATGGCATTTACCTCTGTCCTGGAGATAATTTAATTACTTCTCAATTATCTCCAGGGCAGAGGGGAGGAAACCGGGATGCATTATGGGAATATTTTGTGCCTGGATGTCTGAAAGTGCCATATGTCAATCTGTCATTACAGTCTACCATTTGGTCCCCTAGGGGAGTGTCCACCAAGTGGTAGACCTGCATAAATACAGGCGGGTAGCCCACAGTAAAGCCAGTTCTTGTTTTACCCTCAATGCGGAGCTTGGTATCGTTATTGGGGGGATTTACTACACACGGTTAGCGACTGATTGCTGGAACCGTAAGCCGCCTGGAGGATATATTTGATCGGCTGTTAGCAGCGATTCGTAGATTATTGTTCAGGAGTTTGGAGCATCCGTATGGGTCCCGTTCGGGAGATTGGCGCATTTTCCTGGTTGCAGTTCATACGGTGGAAGTATATACGAATGGAGCTTGCATTATTGCGAAAGGGGAAGCTTAGCTAAATGGCGATTTCACTCCTTTGTGCCAGGGGTGTCTTAACATATATATATTGTGACGAGGTGCCCCTCGCCACTGGGCATTGGAGAGGACTGATTGCCAGCCTCCTGCCACTTGACTATGGCCCTGGGGTGTATGGCACTTTAAAACCATTACTTGGTCTTATCGACTTTTATTTGGACTAATGCTGGCCCTTTAAAAACAGTGTATGGACTTATTGAATCTTTTGGGACACTTTTTCTGCCCTTTGAATCCATGGGAAGGTGTGTCTCTTCCCATTGTTCTCCAGCAGGGCGTGTCCCAGGGACACTGCCACACCAGTTGGAACTGGCTGTTTTGTCCCTCCTTGGTCAAAATATGACTTCCACCTATCTCCTGAACCACTTAACCGATTCAAGTGAATTTTGGATATGTTTGTCCCCAAATTATGCTGGTTATAAAAATATAAGTTTTATTGCGATTACATGTAAACTCACAAAGTTAAAAAAGAAATGGCATAAAAGTATGTTTTTTAGCTTGGAGATAATTGAGTTGATACAGTAATTAACTCGATTATCTCCCAAGCAGAGGGGAGGATTCTCATTGTAAAAAGTGGGTGTGCTTATCCATGTGCCTTTATTTTATTGGTTGTTAAATTTACAGTTCCAGTGCCCCACAAGGTCCATGTGGGTGGAAACCTTGCTGGGAAAGTTGTATATAAGCAGGAATAAACGCTCATTGGAGTCAGTTCTTCTTCACCCTTCTAAACGTAGCTGTGTCTCATTGTTGAAAGGGAATTTGCAGCTTAATCACCCTCTCTATTGCTCCAAGGATCCAGCGGATGGGACTTCACTTCTCCACTACAGCCCAGCATCTTGCCCGGAGGAAGGACGTCGCCAACGGCAGATACCTCTCTCTACCCTGGGTAGCCGTTACATACTATATATATATATATATATATGTATGTATGTGTGTGTGTGTATATATATATATATATATATATATATATATATCATACAAGATCCAGCGCAGTCACTCATTCACAGCATTTTCAAGTCTCACAGAATGTAATAGTTTTATTCAAAAAACACCTCACTTAGGCAACAAATAATGGGGGTTTAGTTACATTATATGATCATATACTGCATAAGCCTGCCACAACGTCAATGTACCCCATTATTGTCAGGTCCTACTCTAGCAGCCTAATGCCTGCTTTTATGAGATTGATCCACTTACTTGGGAAATGCTTTCTCCTGGGACTCTCTGCAGGGCAAGGTTAAATAGGGCCCTGGAATGAGGCACATGTGACAGGGAGGGGGGCAAAGCCAAGGAGTTGGGCTAGACTTCCTTATAAGTATGCATGTTCAGGTGAGTGCATCCTCTTAGTTTCATACATTTATATTTGTTACATTCATGTTAAACATGGCATTTTATTAAAAGTAGTATGTACACAATAAGGACTATTCATTCACCTTGTTCATTATAAAGTGAGAATTTCACTTTAGATACTGTTATCATTTAACTTATTTGGAAGTCCACCTATTGAACTGCGCTGCAGATTAATTTGTTGCTTTAAAAGTAATAATAATTACTAGTCACTAATTATTTTCTACGGCAGTGTCAAACCACTAACCTGTTCGCTGGCTGCAGGTAGTTTGTGAGGCTCATCGGTCTGCACCACTAGGTCTTCAATGATCGCTTGGAGGTGAGTGACCTCACCCAGCATGTGGATCTCTCCGTTCTGCAGCACAGGGGAAGAAACAAAGGGCTGGCTGGCCTTAAGAGAAATCAAGCATCATGGAATGTGTAGTTTTTCAATATCTAGGGATCTACCTTTGGCCACACCTGCCCTATATTAACCCTTTAACCCCTTAAGGACACATGACATGTGTGACATGTCATGATTCCCTTTTATTACAGAAGTTTGGTCCTTAAGGGGTTAAAGGATCAATCCAGGCCATAAAAAAGATAATTTCAATTAAGCCTATATAGTGTCTGAAGGTGTTGGGAACCATCTTACTCTATGAGGCTGAAACCCCAATGTCCTCTAGATGGCACCCACCCACTTAGCCTCTCTGCCGCCTCCTCTGCTGGCATCTGTGATGCTCCCCACCTATCACTGGCTGCCCATTGACAGAAATGCCTTAGAAAGGTATATGCACTTAGAAGTCTAATGCTGAAGGGGAAAAATTCAAGATTTGTGCCAGAGACAGTAGGGCAGGGCAGAGAGGCGCCGTCAAGAGAACTCTTGGGGTTAAATTGTTAGAAAACGGTTTAATGGGACAATATAGTAACCAAAACGGCTTTAGCTTAAAGAAGTAACTTTTGTGCATAGATCATGCCTCTGAAAACTCACAGCTCAATTCTGTCATTTAGGTGTTAAATCACTTTTGTATGCTTCTTAACTGTCCCTAATTCTGCAGGACAATCCCGATTTTCGTGTCCTGTCCTGCCTTAGTCCCACGGTGTCCAGTTTTTGCAGACACCAGGAAACTGTCCCCAACATTCATAGCACGAGCACGTCAGTGGGCCGGCCTTGGACAGGCAGCCTGGCATGCATTAACGCCAGGCTGACCTGCCATTAACTCTAAAGGGCCTGTGTCACTGGCCCTTTACCGAAATGTAAACATTAGATCTCACTTTACAGTGTAAGTCACACGTAGGGAGGCGTGACTAGAGATGCATAACCATAGTGATTTAACTCTTAAATGGCAGGGAATTAAGCAGTGAGACTGCATTGGCATGATCTATACACCAAAACTGCTTTGCTAAGATAAAATTGTTTTGGTGCTTATAGTGTCCCTTTAACCCCAGAAGGTAAGAAAGCTACCAGCACATAGACATTGTAACGACTCCATTGTGATTTAAGTTATTATGGTAATTAGTAGGTTATTTTGCTAAAAGAGGGAGTGTGTCTAAAGGTACAGGGTTATACTGCAGAAAGCTGCAAAGCATTTTCTTTTTCAGTTAATTTAGAAAGCCATTACTATGTTTAGTAACTGAATTCTGTCCCAGCGGCCATGCTAGCATGCTGCTCCATAGTGCAAACGCCGTGCCTTGTGCCTTACCACTACAGGCTGTAGTAATGCGATAAATGTGCAGAAACGTCCGCGTTCCTCTATCAGTGCCCTGCGCACCGCTTGCTTCTCGGTCTCTTCCAGCAGGAGGTACATGTCATTGACATCCTGCAGAGCATGATCTAGCTGTGGCTGAAGGTCTCCTTTGCCTGAAGAAAAGAAACTGCAATCATACTGCGTAAAATCACAATCTTTCCTTATCCTTCTTCCATGATGGGTATTTTTGGGGTATCTCATTAACACTCTACTTTCACCACAGCTCACAAGTTCAATCTCCTCTATAACACAGGACAACAAATAAAGAGATAACTAAAAACACCATAACTATCTACATCACATGTGCTATTACACTGTGACCCATCCGAGGCGCTATTACACTCTGACCCATCAGGGGTGATGTTAGGCCTCTGAAACATACTTCCTCATTCCTGTTTCCATAGAAATGATTATGGCAGGGATTTCATTCAGTGTTTACGTTCTTATCCAATGTCTGTGGGAGCATGGCACACTGCTTTATCACCCAAACAAGTCAATATGTCTGAAATGATGCAGGGCAGTTACTGGCTAGGGTGTCAAAACGTTCTGCAAAACTGGCAAATGTCAGACCAATGTGAGGCATATCCTTCTCCAGTGTATATATAGTGTGGCTGGAGGTTTTAGTATCACTCCAATGGCCATTCAAGTGTAAGTTCACCTGCCACGTCAATGCAAAATCTTAGTCCTACGCTAATAGGGTTAACGTGAGTGTGGCGAAACCGACCTCGCCACTGGGCATTGGAGAAGACTGATTGCCAGCCTCCTGCCATGTGACTATGGCCCCTGGGATGTATTACCCTTTAAAGACATGATTTGGGCATAATGGATTTGTGTTGTGCTGCTGCTGGCCCTTTAAGAACCATCTGGGGACATACTGTGGAGTTACTGGGTGGCCACCATTTCCTGTATCAGAGGCACATGGTGAGAACAATGGATGGCGGCCATTTTAACTCACAGACACTGTTTGGACTTTTCAACACGGTGCCATCTCGCTGTTATTTGGTGCACAGAGACATCGTGCAGTGGTTTTGGACTATACAGCAGGGGACACATTATACATTGATTGTTTTTCATTTAGCCTGTATATGTTCTGCAGAGTCTGCATTAAACTGTATCTTCCAAAGTACTGAATGGATCTGGGTGAATTTTGGATCCCCCGGTTCCAAGGATATACTTTTTATGGGGTTATTGCATGTTTTGGGGTCCCTGTGATGTGTTTTATGAAACTGTATTTCTCTGTCTGTGATAATTAGATTACCCATTGTGTTCAGTAATCATATCACAGCCAGAGGGGAGGATTTTGTGTGGGAGTGTCTTTGTGTATTGTACAGATTGATTGGTTGTTCTGTAAAACCCTGTGGGCAGTACTAAATTTGTGGATTGGGAATAAAAGAGGCTGTATGTGCCAGTACAGTCAGTTCCTGCTTAACCCTCAAAGTGAAGTGTCGTCTCATTATTGGGGGAGGATTCATTGTATGCTGTTCCAGTTTGACTGCTAGGAGTGTAAACCTATTTGCATGGTTTTTCCTATTCGGCTGTATGCAACATTCATATGCTTGAGAGCATTCATATGCTCCTACAGTTCGGTGGTTTTGGTGTCTGCTGCAGTGCTTGGAGTCCTCAGGAGTGCTAGGAGCATCCTTCAACGCGGTACCAAGTCGGGGTGCCAGGTGATCCGTTACAGTGAGGTTGGCGGCAGCACTGTAACATGGCTGTGTAATACAAAGCAAATACAAACTCCCACTACTCCTGGGGCTCCACCCCATGTGTTCCCTATTAAGGTTTAATACGTAGAAAAACGAAAAGAAAGAATAGAGAGGGAGGTCTGATCCCCAAAGGGGGAATAGTGTAGATGTATGTCTAGAGTAAAGATAAACAGCCTATCCATATATTTTTTATCCCAATGTGTGCTGTAAAGGGAGCACAATATAGGAGAAATATATATGTAAAGATAGGTGGAAAGATGACAGCATGAATGAATAAAGGGTGTAAAAAGAGGCAGAAACCTAAATAGAGGTAAAGAAGGGGAATAAACTAGGACTATGATTCTAGATGTACACATAGGTCGCCTAAAACACCCCTTCACAACACTGCTCCAACTTAAACTACACCATACATCTAACAGCTGCTTCAAGGCAGCCTATCCATACCCCCTTATTAGCTAAAAAGAGCCAACATAATCACTCAGGGACATCTCCAAGCTAAATAGAATGAATTACATAAAGCTAAATTCTGCTAAAGCTAAAGTCTCAAATTCAGTAAATTAGCGTCGGCTAAAAACTGTCTAGAGAACTAATAGATAGCATCAGCTACAACCAAAATCTCAAATAAAAGTGATTAGCGTCGGCTAAAACTATCTAGACTCAATTCAGAAAATAAGTGTCGGCTAAAACGGTCTAGAGAGCTCATAGATAGCATCAGCTACAACTAAAATCTCAAATAAAGTGATTGGCGTCAGCTAAAACTATCTAAACTCGACGCGCGTTTTTCAAGCACGCCTTTATCAAGAGCAACTTGTTAAGTGGTTAAGGTTTGCCTTATAAAGGGTAGTGACCATTTCCCCAAAGTTGACGTCCTCCAATCGGATTCCTCAAGAGGCGGAGTTCATCTGATCATCACATCTCAATAGAGACCAATCAGGAGAGGTGGGCGTAAAGCTCACGTGGTCGCCATAATTTCGAGGGGAGGAAATATAGCGTCATAGTGACAGGTATGGCCTTAAGCCAATCAGGGTAGATGAGCATTGTGCTAACGTGGTCTCCCCGTAACCAAGGGGAGGGGTTACCGTGTCACGATGACTTACAAAGATACCGGCAAAAGCGCTTAAATTATGAAGCATTGATACAATGTAGCAATAATGGAAAAAAACTATAAATAACCCGATAAATAGTATAACTAGATTGCCAGATTGTTCACACAGCCTCATGTTTTGCTGATGTCGGCAATTTTCCACAGAAAAAGAGGACAAGTAAGACTGCCTGAAAATAAAATAATACTACTCAGTATGAATGGTCAAAACATAGAAATCCTGGGCAAATGTGTTAACCAAAAGTTAAAAATAAAAATGAAAAATATGACAAATATATAAAAATGGTAGTCTATATATCGAGTCTATATATCGACCAAATTCTCAGACCGTTTGTCGAAAAGCTCCCTTCCTACATCAGGGACACTAAGCAGGCACTCTCTTTACTCTCTAAAATCCATCTTAAACCAACGGTGAGTCTATGTAGCCTTGATGTTGAGGCCTTATATTCCTCCATTCCACATCAGAGAGGCATTGAACATGTCAAATATTTTCTTGACCAAAGGGGCCCGGAACATCAGGCACATACAATATTCACCCTCAATCTATTGAAATTTATCCTGTCCCACAACTATTTTATGTTCCACAACAAATACTACCATCAGATAAGTGGCACTGCCATGGGCACTGCGTGTGCACCTTCATATGCCAATCTTCATCTAGGGTGGTGGGAGGAACAGATCAAGACATCCACTATCTTTTTACCTTTTCTGTCCAAAATTATCGTTTGCAGATACATTGACGATGTCATTTTAGTGTGGCAGGGTAATCATAAGGAGTTTGATGATTTTGTGTCCCTCCTTAAAGGACCACTATAGTGCCAGGAAAACATACTCGTTTTCATGGCACTATATTGCCCTGAGGGTGCCCCCACCCTCAGGGACCCCCTCCCGCCCGGCTCTGGAAAGGGGTTTAAACTTACCTTTTTCCAGCGCTGGGCGGAGAGCTCTCCTCCTTCTCTCCTCCTCCATTCCGCCCCGTCGGCTGAATGCGCACAAGAGGCAAGAGCTGAAAATCACAGTGAGAAGCACGCAAGCGCCTCTAGCGGCTGTCAATGAGACAACCACTAGAGGCTTTGGGGGAAGGCTTAACCCATTAATAAACATAGCAGTTTCTCTGAAACTCCTATGTTTATTAAAAAATGGATTAACCCTAGCTGGACCTGGCACCCAGACCACTTCATTAAAGGACCACTATAGTGCCAGGAAAACATACTCGTTTCCTGGCACTATAGTGCCTCCCTAGTGCCCCCACCCTCAGAGTCCCACTCCGCCGGCTCTGGAAGGGGAAGGGGTAAAAACTTGCACTTTCCAGCGCTGGGCTGACTCTCCTCCTCCCTCTCGCCTCCGTTCGCCCGCGTGAATGCTTGCAGCGGCGAGCTGCGCTTGTAGCGCATTCAGCTGGAATGCTCACTAGGAAAGCATTTTACAATGCTTTCCCGCCGGGCGCTTGGCGTGCTCACCACTTGTGAAAATCACAGTGAAACGCGCATAGCGCCTCAGTAAACTGTCAGCCAGAGACAGCCACTACAAGAGCAGAAGCAACCCATTCATAATTACAGCGATTTCTCTGAAACTGCTATAATTACTCGAAAAATAAGGTTAACCTAGAAAAAGGACCAGCACCCAGACCACTTCATTAGCAAGTAGTCACGGGTATAAATGTCCCTTTTAAGCTGAAGTGGTCTGGGTGCCTAGAGTGGTCCTTTAATGTAAATGATGATAACCTGAGATTCACTGCAGAGTTCGGAGGCTCTACATTGAACTTTTTGGACCTTACAATTTCGATCTCTGAAGATGGCTCTTTAACTACAACTCTCTTTAGGAAACCCTCGGCATCTAATTCCCTCCTTAAATGGAACAGTTGCCATCCAAGATCTTTAAAACAGGGTATCCCTACGGGGCAATACCTCAGACTACGACACAACTGTACAGATCTTGCGGACTTTCAAATGAAAGCTAAGATCTTGAGACAACAGTTCAAGGAGAAGGGTTAGCCTAACAGATGTCTCAAGAGAGCGTATAAGAGAGCATTAACTACTGATAGATCAGACCTTTTGTCAGACTCCCCAGTACCAGATAAGCTTACCAATAAAACTATTAGGATGATTGGTACATTCGACACTGGTTGGGATGAGGTCAAAAGTTCCATGCAGAGGTTCTGGCCTATTCTTCTTAAAGATAACCATCTAAAAGAGATCTTGGGTCCACAGGTTTCCATCACAGCAAGGAGGGGTAAGAATCTCCGTGACATTCTCGTACCCAGCCATTTTGCCCCCAAGCAACACTTTAACACCACAAGGCTTGGTCGAAAGATTCCCGTGGGTACATATGGGTGTGGAAGGTGCGTAGCCTGCAGATACATCCTTAGAAATTCAAAGGAAGTTACGGATACCGAAGGTAAACATACTTACCAGATTGCCCACTTCTTCAACTGCAACTCAGCAGGGGTAGTGTACCTCCTTACTTGTAGTTGCAAGTTGATGTACGTGGGCAAAACGTTTCGTCCATTTAAAGAACGTATCAAGGAACATGTCAGGTCACCTAAGAACCGACTTGATACCCCCATTTCAAGGCATTTAAAGGAACAACATGGGGGTTCATCTAAAGATATACGGTTCTGTGGTCTAGAACTCGTCAAACGCAATCAAAGACTTTGGGGGGACTTTGACAAAATCCTGCGTCAAAAAGAATGTAGATGGATCTATAAACTGAAAACTCTTAGTCCGAAAGGCCTCAACGAGGGTTTTTCCTTTTCTCCATTTATCTGATTAGACTTTATTCTTTTAAACCCTCTATGCTATTTTTCTTCATTTCGATTTCACTATTTAGCTAACTAGCCCATTAATGATTCTGTGTGATCATTTCAGTACACATCATAGGGTAACTGTAGATTGGCTTGTGTGGGGTTGCTTTTACATTAACATTAACGTTGACTTATATGTAGACCCCTTTCTATTTGCATCTTCCATTTTAGTTATTAATCATCTACTATTCAGTACATCTATTTTTCGTTTTTATTTTTAACTTTTGGTTAACACATTTGCCCAGGATTTCTATGTTTTGACCATTCATACTGAGTAGTATTATTTTATTTTCAGGCAGTCTTACTTGTCCTCTTTTTCTGTGGAAAATTGCCGACATCAGCAAAACATGAGGCTGTGTGAACAATCTGGCAATCTAGTTATACTATTTATCGGGTTATTTATAGTTTTTTTCCATTATTGCTACATTGTATCAATGCTTCATAATTTAAGCGCTTTTGCCGGTATCTTTGTAAGTCATCGTGACACGGTAACCCCTCCCCTTGTTTACGGGGAGACCACGTTAGCACAATGCTCATCTACCCTGATTGGCTTAAGGCCATACATGTCACTATGACGCTATATTTCCTCCCCTCGAAATTATGGCGACCACGTGAGCTTTACGCCCACCTCTCCTGATTGGTCTCTATTGAGATGTGATGATCAGATGAACTCCGCCTCTTGAGGAATCCGATTGGAGGATGTCAACTTTGGGGAAGTGGTCACTACCCTTTATAAAGCAAACCTTAACCACTTAACAAGTTGCTCTTGATAAAGGCGTGCTTGAAAACGCCGAAACGCGCGTCGCGTTTAGATAGTTTTAGCTGACACCAATCACTTTATTTGAGATTTTAGTTGTAGCTGATGCTATCTATGAGCTCTCTAGACCGTTTTAGCCGACACTTATTTTCTAAATTCAGTCTAGATAGTTTTAGCCGACGCTAATCACTTTTATTTGAGATTTTGGTTGTAGCTGATGCTATCTATTAGTTCTCTAGACAGTTTTAGCCGACGCTAATTTACTGAATTTGAGACTTTAGCTTTAGCAGAATTTAGCTTTATGTAATTCATTCTATTTAGCTTGGAGATGTCCCTGAGTGATTATGTTGGCTCTTTTTAGCTAATAAGGGGGTATGGATAGGCTGCCTTGAAGCAGCTGTTAGATGTATGGTGTAGTTTAAGTTGGAGCAGTGTTGTGAAGGGGTGTTTTAGGCGACCTATGTGTACATCTAGAATCATAGTCCTAGTTTATTCCCCTTCTTTACCTCTATTTAGGTTTCTGCCTCTTTTTACACCCTTTATTCATTCATGCTGTCATCTTTCCACCTATCTTTACATATATATTTCTCCTATATTGTGCTCCCTTTACAGCACACATTGGGATAAAAAATATATGGATAGGCTGTTTATCTTTACTCTAGACATACATCTACACTATTCCAGTTGACTGTCTCTCCCCCCCACCCCTTAACACATACGGACATTTAGTCCACTCCTTTTTCATTGGATACATTTGGCATTATTTATATTTACTTCTATTATTATTTCTATACGTATTTCAATAAAGGTTATATACCCTAATATATGTGACTTTTTAATATTAGGAGGTATTCTTTGAATGGTAAGGGTAGGTTCCCCCTCCCCCCCCCCCCTTTTGGGGATCAGACCTCCCTCTCTATTCTTTCTTGTCATTTTTCTTGGTTAAATTGGGGTTAAGCCCCTGTTACCTCCTGTAACCTTCTTTTCTGAGGGACCAGTGGGGGGTTTGTTCACCTTCCCTACTCCTTCTTTCGCTTAGTTTAAGGTTTAATACGTGTCTGGGCGTTTAGAAAAGTACCCTTCTCTGTCTCATTACAAATTTTGTCTTTTTGCTGAATACAGCAAGATGAATTGTTAGTGTAGGACTCACCTAAGAGATTTTGCCTTGATGTGGTATCTGAGCTTACACTTGAATGGCCATTGGAGTGATTATTTTACGTGCATAGGGATTGGGATTTTTTTTTTTTTAATGGTTTTTGTTTTATGTATTGGGGCTGATGTTTACTATATTCATAGCTGCCTTAGTGGGAGATTGAGCACAGGGCTTAATTTAATTAATTTATTTTTAAAAATATTTATTTTTGTTGTGCGAGCATTAACAACATTCTTGAATACACACGATAGCTATAACAAACACAAGTGTGACAAGTTGTAAATTTAATGCCCTGAATAGTGTAAATTGGCCAATTTCCAAACTCACAAGTTTTACAAAATATATGGCTTTTTAATTTTATTCTCTATTGAAATGTGGGAAAAGCAGTTACTTACCAAGGACTTCTGCAAGAAGAATGTGAGGAAATCATAAAGGTGAGCGAAGGAAGGAGAAAGTGCAAAAGAAAAGGAGAAAGACACTTTGTAAAAGAATGTACAGACAAGGAGAAATCCCCATACCCTGGCCACCCAGCGCCCAACCACCCTCCCTCCCAATACCCAGCCTCCATCCACCCTCTCCCCTCCCAATACCCAAGTATAGCGCCCATCCACCCTCCCAATACCCAGCGCTCCATCAATCTCTCCCCCTCCCAATACCCAGCGCTCCATCCAATTTCTCCCTCTCCCAATACCCAGCGCTCCATCCAATCTCTCCCCCTCCCAATACCCAGCACTCCATCCAATCTCTCCACCTTCCAATACCCAATGCTCCATCCAATCTCTCCACCTCCCAATACCCAGTGCTCCATCCAATCTCTCCACCTCCCAATACCTGGGGAAGTGCCTCCACTGCCCTCCCTCCCAATACCCAGCCCATCAATCTCTCCCCCTCCCAATACCCAGCGCTCCATCCAATTTCTCCCTCTCCCAATACCCAGCACTCCATCCAATCTCTCCCCCTCCCAATACCCAGTGCTCCATCCAATCTCTCCACCTTCCAATACCCAGTGCTCCATCCAATCTCTCCACCTCTCAATACCCAGCTCTTCATCCAATCTCTCCACCTCCCAACACCCAGCGCTCCATCCAATCTCTCAACCTCCCAAAACCCAGCTCTCCATCCAATCTCTCCACCTCCCGAAACCCAGCTCTCCATCCAATCTCTCCACCTCCCGAAACCCAGCTCTCCATCCAATCTCTCCCCCTCCCAACACTCAGCGCTCCATCCAATCTCTCCACCTCCCAAAACCCAGCTCTCCATCCAATCTCTCCACTCAACTCCCAGTTTCATCTACCTCTACCTTCCCAAAACCCAGTTTCATCCACCTCTCCACCTTCCCTAAACCTGTAGCGCTTCCATCCAATCTCTCCACTCTCCCCAACCCAGTTTCCACCACCTTCATTTCCTGAAACTCAGTTTTGTATCTTGGCCTTTCCTCCTTACCACTCTCAGCTTCCATTCACCTTCTCTTACCTTCCCCAACAGCCAGCTCTCCATCCAATCTCTCCACCTCCCAATACCCACAAATTCATCCAACATAACTACCTCCCTGCTCCTTCCAGCATTAAGCATTCCATTAAACCCAATCATCTGCTTGAAGCATTTTCTTTTATTATGTGTAAAGTGATTTACAGCTATTGTAAGAGAGAGGGGGCAGATAATAAGAGGACAGTGATTGACTGTGGGTGGAGTAATGTCAACAACCCCACTTGCCTTGATTTTTCACTGGTTGAGCTCAGTATGTACTTCTAGTATGTATAATAAGTGATTTGCCTTTGAAATCAGTGTGG